TAATTCGTGATACTGGTACTGCATTTGACAAAGTTATTTTTATTTCAATATAGCACGAGAACACTGCTAAAACGTTTTCATTTTCAAACTAGGCTTAGCAACCTGTAGGTACAATTAAAACAACGGTGTGACAACCCTACGCTTCAAGTGACATGTAGGGCTTCAGCATGTCGAAGAGGCGGGAGTTACACTACTCATAGAATTGGAACTCAGAACTAGTCGTCATTGTTCACCATTATTTATAACAGCAGCAGCCCTACAGTCCATACCGTCAGTTAATCCAATATTTTTCTGACACACAAAAAATTGTAAAAGCCAATTTATAGATTTCGAAAAAGCGTAATTGCCGTGAACAGCCAGAGTAATTTGCCAATAAAAAGCTGAAAATGCGGAGTGCCTGCTGTACAAATTTACCTATTGACCATTATTGTAGTACCTACTTAATTGAATTTTGTGCTCTTTGAGTAAATTAATTTGTGTTTAGGCATTGACTTACAAATAAATGGACGACGGGTCTAATACAAAAACCACGAAAAAATGTCCCAAGTCAACCTATTTAAACGTAGTGACATGTAAAGGAATATGAAAAAGCTAAAACGTTGAATTTAAATTGTCATCGCAGTACTGTCTAATTTTGCTTGCTTCGCTGTCAGTCGAACAAACGAAGACTAAAGCGTGAAAGACGCTCTGTATACGATTTTAACGCCCTATAAGTTCGGACACTTTTTAGCGCGGACCCGACGTCCATATAATTGTAAGTCAATGTGTTTAGGTGTCATTTGTAGCGTGTGAGCGGAACAAAAAAAATATTTTGTATTATGTAATGAAATTTGTATATTGTTCAAGGTGTATACAATATATACAAAATTTTAGTTATTTCTTCAATGTCATACCAAAATTTGGTATTTTACAACGTTTCGTAAACTACTTTTATGTCTCTTGGGTACCCAAGCCACGGTTCAGGAAACTATCGATTTCGTTTACCGGCGACTCAAATCTTTAAATATGACGGGCCACAAAAATAAAAATATAAAAGAGTAAGTGGAAACAACAGTACAAACATGTTACAGGTACTAGTGACGATCCTAGAGTGCTAAAGATTTTAAAATAACCGTAGCGTTATGTTGGTATTGCTCTTGTGTTATTGCGTTATAATCTGAGATAGGTGACATTTCGAAAATTAGATTGAATAAATAAAAAAAAACAATTAGAATTGTCTCATTTATTAGAAAACTTATTCGTCATGTTGACACTGTTAGTCAAATAATAAATTATGCTAAATATTACGGGCATAGCAAATAAAGCTTTTGAATCTTGTAATCGTTACGGCTTTGTAGTTTTCTAACTCTGATCTAATACATTTATACAAAATTTTGCAATATAATTTTAGACGCCCCTTTTCTGTTGAAAAACATATTTTTTGGGATACCACGAAAAAATGAAAGAACATATCATAAAAGATCTTTAGGCATTAAATTTAGTAAGACACGGTAGCAACAGTTTCTTAAAAATAACTTGTTCCCTAAACAACATTTAATGAAATTTTTATCTTGACCTTCTTTGCAGAACTTGAAAAATCACATTAGCAAATAAAATTTTAAAGCGGATTTATAGTCTCACGTACCTATGTTGTTATATAAATAAATTTTTTTTTATGTTTCTTACTCGATGTCACAAAGTCACAAATACATTTACTAGGAAATCTTTAAATATTTTTTTAGCGCGCTTCTATACATTCCCGTTGATATTCAAAATTTGCCATAAATTTACGAGGTTTAGAGCTACAGTGAAACAAACATTTTACACAAAAAGTTATTTACAGCTTCTGCGCAGTTGGATGATAAAAATCCACTGTAGTGACCCGTTTAGGCTTGCCTTGGTCTATCATATTTGCAATAAATTATAATTTTTATTTTATTTAAAAACTAAATGCCCATTTGACTTCCATCTCACCTGATGGAAAGTGACGATGATAAATGTATACAATTGTTTAATTACAAAGAGCAACCCCTAGAGTTTCCTACTCATTCTTCTCAGGGGAATCTGCTTTACGGAGAAGTAATAGAGTTTAATCAATGTTACGAATTCAAGTGTAATTTGCTTACCTATGAAATAACATTATTTGACTTTGAGATGGATCTTAGATTTTTTTTATTATATCAAGTGACGGGACAAACGTCGTGCGCCTGATGGTAAATAAGCTACACGCCAGTCCATAACAACTGCAGTGCCACTCAGAGCTTTAAATCGCAAAGATCCGAGGGGCACTGCCACTGCACCTGTCACTCTGAGACATAATTTGACAAGACCCATGTGCCTGTAATTTCACCAGCATCACCTTACCCTTCAAAACCAGAACGCAGCAATGCTAACATTACTGCTTGGCGGCAGAAATAGGTAAGGTGGCAGTACTTCCTTGGACGAACTCTTTCACAAGAAGCTCTACTGCTGCTATTATCTGTCTTGGACTTGTTCTTTTTTGAAACCCGTATGTCATAACATAATAAGGGAGTAAGGTAGTTTATATTTAAATTTTCTATTGGGCTATTGCCCTAAAATCTCAGTCTAGAGTTAGCTGTTGAGGTCACTTCCAGGAGCATCATCAGCGCTTTTGAGGAAACCTGCCGGCCAAAAATTCGGACCTCCAATAGGAAGGTTCCGTGGTGGAATGCAAAACTGAGAAAGCTAAGAGAGGAACACTAAAAAAGGAATGAGAGACCTACAGGAAGGCCCTAACTAACTATAACAGGGAGATAAGGAAGGCCAAGCGAGCATCGTAGCGGCGGTTCTGTGAGGAGATCGCTAGTGCTCCTCAAGATGCACGTCTACATAGACTGCTCGCTAAAGCCAATTCCCATCAACCAGGACTGTTAAAGAAGCCTGATGGGACCTTCTCGACTTCTACGATAGAAACCCTTCAGCTTTTAATGTCAACCCACTTCCCGGGGGCCTTGTGCGACACGCCCCCTCATCCACAACGACGCTACATTCACCTCGCAACGACGAAAGACTGGAACAGAGCCGCCAACATAATAAGACCCCGACAAGTGGCCATAAGCTCGTTTAAATTGAAATCGTATAAATCCCCTGGTGAAGACAGTATTACTCCCATTTACTGCAGCAAGGCATAAGTGTCCTCTTGCCATACCTGGTCAAGATATACAGAGCCAGTCTTGCTTGGGGACACATACCGATGTAATGGATGTAAAGTTGTATTTATACCGAAGGTAGGCAGGACTACTCTCTTGCTAAGTCCTTTAGACCCATCTGCCTAACCTCATTTTTGCTTAAGGCAATGGAGAAGGTACTTGACAATCACATTAGTGCTTCGTCCTTAATATATAGTCATATCCATCACACTCAACACGCCTATCAGAGTGGAAAGTCCACAGAGACAGCTTTGCTCCACCTTGTGGACAAGGTTGAAAGAGCGTTTGAGTGCATTTGACAATACACCCATCCATACTCTGGTGAAGGGCGTAACCTGCAAAAGTGTGGACACTTCAACCACGAAATGAGTATGATGAGATGAACTGGCAAAGGCTGGTGCTATAGGGAATCTTTTCCTTTATTGGACCCGAACCCTTCATAGGGATAGCATACAGCCTGGCAAAGCTCACTCTGCTAAATGAGAGCACACACCTCTCCCGACAAGAGTGTCTACAGAACAAGGGTCTTGAGCATTCAAAAGCCCTGATATCTGCCTATAGTGCCAAATACTGTAGAAAGGCTCTGTCATTGGACAGGAATGGTATAAAAATGCTGACTAGAGTCTTAACAGGGCATTGTGGCTTAAACAAGCACATGTCAAATATTGGGCAGAGAGAAAATAGAGAATGTAAATTCTACCACACGGAGGATGAAACTCCAGTTCATCTACTCACCCAATGCTACCCCTTGATGGGCGTACGAAGTTCCGTACTGTGAAGGCACATGCTACAACCAGAGAGAGGACATTAAATCTGTCGGAACCAGGAAAGTCCTTCAGTTTTTCAATGCTGTCGGCCTTGGCTCTGCACTGTAATTAGTGGTGATCACAATAGACCAGTCAATGGTCGCAGTGATGAGGGGATGCATAGGCCCTGAATAAAGCCACCCTAATAATAATAATAACAGTAATTGCCCTAAAATAAAGCTAACTATTATTAACTTTATACCATGCCGAATGATGATTGCTAACAAGAAATTTTTGTAAAGCGATTCTGAACGCAACCTAAACAGTACCAAATACCAACATAACGGCGAAATTATTTCGTTATCTATGGATACACGTGGATTATTTAGGTACGTGTAAAGTGCAGTGTAGTGTTCGTATCACACCGACAGTACACTAAGCTACCTTTGTGGTTTTACTCTGTTGTCCTGGAGGTATTATCTTCTTTATAGAGAGTGTGCGCCTCTTCACCACTCCCACCTATACATAATATGTTGAAAATAATTGACATCAATTGTTTATCAAAATACACTGGAAGGGAAGCCATTTATAATTTTTCCGTGTTTTAAATACACCTATTCATAAACTTACTTTTTTTAAAGTCAGAAATAACCTGGTACTGAATATTAATAATCTTTAAAAGGTTTCTGATAGAATTACTTTTTCATTCATGAATAAAAGTAACCTTCTAAACATCTTTTTTATCTAAAATTTCTGACAAAATTACATAAAATTCTAATAGAATTTATTTAATCCAAAACCGAAACAAAACACAAAAAATAAAAGCATAAACACTACAGACGGAAGGTCTGGTAATTTTTATTAGAATTCCAAAATTAGTTACAAAGAATCAGAAAATTAATAAAGGTGAAAAACCCGCCACCACAACTCCTGTACACAATGTGCGTATTTATATTAATCGGTGAAATGTTTCAGATGTTTGATTGTACACATTTCAAATTGCACGGTGAAAGACGAATTGGATATATTCGTGTGTGTACAAAAAACGACCTAATAAATTGAAAGTAAAACCAGCATTAGGGAGAGTCTAGAAGCGGCAACTTACCTCAGCGTCGTTGGGATCCTTTGTGCTGCGATCATCTTCCATACTCTCGTTTTCGAGATGCTCCTCCTCGGTTTGTGGCATGAGCTGCAATTCCTCTTTGGACTTGAACTCGAGTTGTAGGATGTAGAGTGGACACAGCAGACTCAGTATTACCTTGAGACATCAAACGCGATGTGGCAAAGGGACTGGCTGGATGCACTTTACTCTAAGCGCTCATGCTACGTTTACAAGTGACTAATTGAATAAGGGGACGTCGATTATACGTATTTAAAAAAAAATAGTTTTCTTTTTAACATCAAATAATAAGACGACTATAACCATTTATTATAGAGTAAAAGCTGTAGGGACCATTTATTTACAGTCAATCATCTAGATTATGAGATACATAAATTTTAATCAACTGAAATGTCATATTAACTTAAAATTAATTTAACCGACGTCTGTAGACTTCCTTTCTATGAATTTTAATGCATCGCATAGATTAATGTTAATGTGTGTATGAGTTTTAGATCTAAAAAAAACATTAGTGCATAAAAAGTAGGTCAAGTTTGCGAAAATTTCATTTAAAGTTAATTTAAAAAAAGGCTAAAGAGACTTTTCATCTCAAAATATATTACGTAAATACCAAAATAATTAAGTTTTGTATCCCAAAATCTACAATTTCCGAGAATGTATCTTTTTTATAGTTTAAGGTCTCTTTTCGAATAATCGACGTCACAAAAAAGCATGCATGATCATCGAAATAAAGCTGCTCATTGACACACAGACATTGCTCAATAACCGTTATAACTCGTCACTTTAATGTTAAAACGTTATTTCTAACATCGATCTACTCGTGCCTTTTATAAGTCTGTGCGTTAACAAGAAGAGAGAAATAAAAAACTGTTCGTTTTTTGAAATCTTACTTTCAAATTTGTGTTTTTTCGTGTTCTAAGGCCACCCATCCACAAATCAGCCAGAATTATTTGCGAGCAGGGATGGGCGAGTAGCGCTCTATGGTTCGCGGCGACAGCAAGGCTCAAGCAGGTTTGGCCTGACCAATTTTGAAGTTCACATGTGAGGAGTTGTTGGGCTTGATCATCGTCTTGGCGGTAGCAGTAGTCTAATAGTTCCAGGGCTGGAAAAAACGGTTTTGGTTACGATATATTCCTTTACAATAGAGCTTGAGGCCAACATTTTACATATACTAGCTACATAATATCTATGCATGTATTTTGCGTTTACATACGGTGAAATTACAGGCACATGGCACTTGTTAATCTATGTCTCAAGGCGACGGGCGCAGTCAAAGTCAAAATCAAATAATCATTTATTCTATAGGTAATATGAGTAGGTAAATATGACTTTTCAATTAAAATACTTTTAATATAAATTTTAAACTTAGGAAATGGTAAACTTAATATATGCTCCGGAATCTTCTTAAACGAAGTCTCCTTAAACTTTTCTCTGAGAGAAATCCGAGAACCTAAACGGTACACAGAACGAATCGCTCGTTTTTACAACACAAAAATGGTTTGTATATCTGCCGGCCTTCCAGCGCCCGCGATCGGTGTGTTGTCGTCCATATAAATACACAGAATTACACCCGCCTCGGTCCCGAGCCGACCCGCGCCCGACCCGTACCCGCTCTCTGTGTTTCACGCTTTAAAGCTCTGAGCGGCATTGCAAATATTGTCGACAGGCGTGTCGCTTACAATCACACACGCGACTTGTTTGTCCAGTCATTTTGTATCATAATAACCGGTTAAAAAACCGACCTCAAAAGTCATTCATCCCCTAGTTTGCCACCATTAGAGGTGGAATATTTTCTTGAAATTTAAATGGGACTGTGGTCCCATTACTTTGCCGGATTACTTTGTTCTGGACTTTGTCCCTTAACGAGATACCCAGCATAGACCTTTCCATAGCTCGCTGAGGGACGTGTAGTATTATTAATACAAAGATTTTAAAAATATTAAGCCGAAATAAAAATCCTGCGATCCGGCTGGATTCGAACCAGCCGCCTCGTCATACCAGGGCTATCGAAACGAGTCAGCAGATCTTAAGGACATTTTTAATTATTTTTTTCTGTAATGTAAGAGGTAAGCGAGTCACTTAGTGGGTATTCGTCGCCCATGGACATTTGCAACATCAAAGTAGATTTGAAAGCTCTATTGATACACTTTTTAAACTTATGTCTCAGGGTAACAGGTGCAGTGACAGTGCTGCTTAGATCGTTGTGATTTAATAATAATAATAACGCAACACACTTATAGCCCCGCACTAGGGAAGCCCTGTATCGCGGATGCCATGGATACACACATAGACAACCACAATTTACACCCAAAGTCACGAGAGAATTAAATGTAGGCCATACAAATATTTCACCCGGCCCGGGAATCGAACCCGGGACCTCTGCGTGGCAGTCGAGTATGATAATCGTTCGGCTACGGAGGCAGCTAAAAGCTCTGAGTGTCGCCTACCGCCAGGCGCATGATTTGTTTGTCCCGTCAATTGCCATCATAAAAAAGTTCATACTAGGAAAAGTCGTAGCTTCAGAGCAATTGCGGGTCATAAGACACCTGAGTACCTGCTTAAGCACATATAAGAGGCATATAAGAAAAAACTTTTGCACTTAAGTCTACTACAATAAAACATTGAGACTATTATGAAAGACACAGAGGAATCTAATTAAAAGTTGTTCCATTTTGTTTCATGATAACAATACGACTACGTAAATCTATTTGTTCAAAACTTTTGCTTATCCATTTACTAAATAATACTATATCTTTGTCTAACATAATAATACATATAATAAAATATAACAAAATAAAATAAAACAAACAGGTAGAAAAGGCATAACAAATTCATAACAATTCAAATATATCCATCTTTATTATATAGGTAAGCAAATTACACTTGTATTACAAATTACAAACTCTACAACTCATACGTAAGGCAGATTTCCCTAGAAGAATGAGTAAGAAACTCTCGCATTATGTTGAGTGTGAGCGTTATTATTATTATTATTATTATTTACGATATTTATTTCAAATATCAGGACAATCGGCAAGAGCTAAACGGCACTAACATTTTTTTCGTATCAAATTTATGCATTTTTTTCGTTTCGGATTTTTGTTTTCCAAGTACATAGTAGCTATAATATAGTAATAACCTTTAATATGACGTTTTTGTTTCACTATAGTTTTAAATCTTGTAAATGGCCAATGTTAATAACAGCCAGTTTATTTTTATTTCTCGTAATAATGTTACGTCTATCATTTCATTATTTAGATAAAAAAATATAAAATAAATGAAAAGTTTGTTATTCGCAAAAAAACATAACTGATAAGTATACCATTTTTGTTTAATACGTTTCGACATTTTACTCTTGAAAACTACCATGAAAATCAAAAACAAGGTAAAGTACTTTGCTGTAAGCGCCCATTACACATACATTAATGGCGAATCTGAGTACTATTTACTAAGCAATAACCGGGTAGCCGCTCGGTCGCCGTGCAGCTACTGCGTCGACCAAAGACAAGACGTAAAGTTAAAACGTAAAATCTAAACGAATAGAGCGTATTTAACCATGACAGTTCGGTCTCTGAACACGTGCAAGAGGTCGCTGCGCGGCGGCCAAGCGGTCTCCGCGCGGCGGCCGCACAGCGTGAGCGCAATGAAACATTCGTGTCGAATAAAAACGCCCAAATTTGTTAAACTAAAAAGAGAGTAAATTGTTTGTTTTGCTTTATTATTGCATGACAAACAAAATTGTATATAGAAATTTGTTATAAGTTATTGATACTTATCTGGAATTAACAGAAATCTACAATTCGGAGAATAATGTAAAATAATCTGTGTTATATGTAATATTTTTATGACTTTGTTATAAAAAATAACCAATCCCAATAATTCGTGGATTTACATCTATTTGCCAAGTTTTATTGAAATCGGCTACTGGAAAGTACGCGAAACCGGATTCATCCCCTGGTTTGTCACCCTTAGAGGTGGAATATTTTTTTTGAAATTGAAATGAGAGCAATATTAAGGTACCCTCTTTCCGACAAAAAATAATCATCGAAATCGATTCACAAATACCGGAGAAATCGCGTAACATACATTAAAAAAATGCAGTGGAATTGTGAACCTCCCCCTTTTTTAAACTCGGTTAAAAAAGAAAATATTGCGCTCAATATTTAAAAAAGTTATATATTGACAGAATTGGCTCTCCTGAACAATTACATGCTCGTCGCTTCTTTTCCTTCTTTTTCAATTCAATTCTTTATTGGATTTACTATTTTGACTCGAGCAGCCGATTTGTCAAATCTAAATAGGCTTAGGTCTGTGTTCTTTCAAACGTGGTTGTTACATGAACTAAGTTCGGAAAAACACAAGCCATTATTCGCCATCCAATTTTATTAAGAGAAAATGTATAAAATGTATTTATTTTACTTAACCACACTAGACATAGCTATTACAAACAACTGCTGTAAAAACTCTAGTAAAATAAAAGATCGACAAAGTTCTAATTAAAAGGATCTATATTTATGTCCACAGTGCCAGATGTTGCATGGCAATGATTTGTTTTTTAATAAACAGTAATATTTGTATTACGTATCTACCTAGTCCGCATGAGGCAATTTTACAATGATTAATTGTTTCAGGCATTATTTTTGAGATCTTTTGAGAGTCTTGAAGGTGATTTGTTGATTACATGAATTGTGTCAAGTGAAAAGTCGACTTTCATTTGCGGAAAATATTTTTTTAATTTGTGATAGCCGAAACGAACTCGAAACAGCATCATTGGCATCAGGGACCACCTCGAGAGTATAACCTTTCAAACAAAAAAAAAGAATTTTCAAAATCGGTCTACAATTGATGGAGAACTCTGAAGATTTACATAAATATACATACAGCCGAACGTATAACCTCCTACTTTTTTTGAAGTTGGTAAAAAAGAAACGCACAACACTTGCGTTCATTCAATTAGAAAGTTGAAAATGACTAAGTCCTACGACAACTCGTACGATAAGTATGTACACTTCAAGCAGATTCAAATTTCACATCAATAGGGACGCACAAATTGAAATGCACTCGTATCCAAGGACTCGTATTATGGAAATTCTGAACTCCTTCGGGGAGATTAGATAGGTAATAAATTTAAATACGTATGTGGGCATTTTCGAATTTAGACTTAAAACAGGTTAAGGGGAACAACAAAGTATATTCTAATAGATTCAAGTAGGTACATTAAATTTTTAAGCTGCCTCCGATAATGAGAAAGAGTTGTAAAGTATTGCAAGTGTCACAAATGTAAAAGATATGGAACTAGGTCTATGGGATACAAGTTTATATAGTGCTATAGACTAGGAGAAATCGCTGGTAAAATTTTTAAAGACTAGGAGAAATCGCTGGTAAAATTTTTAAGGTTAAGTTTTTTTATGATATTAAGTGATCGGGCGAAATAGTTGTGCGCCTAATCGTAAAGACCAGAGAAATAATGCTATTGCACTCGTCACCATGAAACATAAAGTTGACAATATCCATGTGTAACTTTATCAGCATTTTTACTCTTTAAGGCGCTCCGCAAATGCAGCAATTTTAGTTGACGCAACTGGCAACTTTTTACAAGTTTCCATTAACGGTTGCCGGTTGTAGCAACTAAAAGGCCTAGTTGCCAGTTGCCGCAATTTTAAATAAACTTTCGAAACCCACGGTCAAGACTGACGCTGCGGGGGACGGGGAGGGATTGAAGTTGCTTGACGAGTTGCGGTTGCCGATTGCGGAAATTGGCAACTGGAGACGACCGGTACAAATTAGCATGTTTCTAGTTGCGGCAATTAAGAATTTTTTTAATCACGGATTTCGGCAATCGAAAACTGTAGTCGGTTGCCGAAACTCTACGCTACGTCTGTGCGGTTTCTTGAAATTATATAAAAAACGTCATAAAAAACTAGTTGCGGGTTGCCAGTTGCCGACACTCGATGATCAAAGTTGCTCCATCTGGGCTGCGCCTAAAACTGGAACGTTGTAATGCTGACATTTCTGTTTGACGGTAGAAATTGACAGTACTTCCCTGGACGAACTCGTTCACAAGGAGGTTCATTACTAAAGCGTTATGAAATATCGTACTTTATTGTAATCGTGTTTTTTGGTAAATAAATATTAGCATTATTAATTTTGTAATATTGCGTTACTGATCTAAAAGAAACCTTAACTTGTGGTACCTACAACAAGAACCCAAAGTAAGAAGAAAAATGGAAAATAACCAACTGGATGTACAAATTTTTGTATATGATGTTTTTATGATGATACCAAGTGATGGGACGAACAAGTCGTGCGCCTGATGGTAAGCTACACGCCTGTCCATAACAGTTACAGAGCCACTCAGAGCTTTAAATCGCAAAGATCTGAGGTGCACTGCCTCTGCGCCCCTCACCTTGAGACATAAGTTGAAAAGTCCCATGTGCCTGTAATTTCACCAGCACCCTTACCCTTCAAAATCGGAACGCTGCAATGCTCACATTACTGCTTGGCGGCAGAAACAGGTAAGGTGGCAGTACTTCCCCGGACGAACTCTTTCACAAGAAGCTCTACTGCTACTAAATGATGAAAAATAGATAGCCATACCTTTCGTTTCAAACTCCTTGCCATAATGCCTCAGCTCTTCATAGACTTCGGTCTCCATGTCATCTTCGGCAGCTTCGTGAGCCATGGCCTTGTACAGTTTGCAGGCCACCAAACTCTTCGCTAGAGCTTCTTCTCCATGCGTCCACATGAGCAAAGCCATTTGGTGCCTTTTTGTTAGAACTGCCCACATCTGTTGGGTAATAGAGACGTCAAAAACAAAAGACGATAATTGATAATAACGAAACCCACTTATAGCCCAATATACTCGTACAGTTTACAATAACAAACGTTCTAAAACAAATACAGTTCGGATGTTAAAATAAGGCAAGAAATTATTGAACATTTACCGATTCTCATTCAGTATACACGTAACGTTTGGCTTTCGAAATTGATCTGTCACGGACAGAGGAATTGGCTATATTGAATTACGAGTAACTTCTGGGCAAGATTTCAGGAGTCGAAAAGTACAAAGAACTTTACTTGGGTATTTCGGTAAACTTATTCCTGATAAGTACATTGTGTAAGAAAAAGGGTTTGCCATAGTATAATCAGACAACTACGGTAGCTTCATACAAATGTAGCAGCGCGACTTGTATGCATGCGCGCCTGTCGCGCACCGTGTAAGGACGCGTTGTAAAGCGCGAGTCGTCTCACGCGCCATTCATTATAGAAATGAAGCGTTCGTTCATAGTTTAAAAAAATTACATCAATTATTAGTAGACGTGTTTATTGTTATTTTTGTGGTTGTTTGAAAAACAGTGGCTCAAATTATGAATTGTTCAGCGTTGCATTTCTATTTCATAATTATACTCCTTAATCAAGATACCAATCCGCGATCCTGGTATCAAAATATCCATACGTAGAAGACGGTACCTTGGAACACATTTTTTTCAATTGTCCTAATATTGCTGTTCCACTTTATAACTTACTTTCTCCAAAATTCCCCCGCCCCATTAACATAAACAACCTCTTAACTTTAGTGTTCTCCCCCCATATTGTTACTCTATGTAAATTTATCCACTTAAATAACATATATTTATAAATATTGTTTTGCTGTTTGTTTGTTTTACATTCTCAACTGAGTACTCCCGTAGTCCAACTGTCCTATTAGAGCTTAGCGAAAATTTTTTTTTTGTTTCGTTTTTTTTCTTTCAACTGTGACATTGGCAAAATCATCAGTTCTCATATTGATGGAGCCATAAAAATAAAAAGTGAAGTGAAGTACTCATTGCATTTGACTAAGGTTATTTCAATATAGCACGAAAATATTGCGATGAACGCCTCAATATTTTCAACGTATGTTTACAAACTATAGCACCTAAAATAATGATGTAACAACCCTATGCTCCGTGTAGGCGAACAGGCGGGAGATACCCAACTTGCTCTTATTTATACTATGGTTTTGCTTTTTCACTGACATATTGAAAAGCACAAAAGTCACATAACCGCATTCGGATATCACTTATTATGTTTCTAGGTACGTGAATAGAGTATATTTATTTTTTCAAACAAACCAACGTTTCGAGCCCTTTACAGCTCGTATGGTCACGGTTGACTGAGATGGCAAAGTCGTCAACCAATATTTAAGCAAACCACTTTACTAGACATAACGTGTAAACGGTCGGCGGTCCCAGACGTTGGTTTGTGTAAAAAAACAAATACACGCGATTAAACTCGAAATAATAGTTTTATTTCCATTGTGTAATAATCGCTAAAACCTAAGAACTTGATTGATTGCAAATTCATCATCATCATTATCAATCCATTTTATCCCGTTCCACTGCTGGGCACAGGTCTCCTCTCCGGCGAGGGTTTAAATGTGAAACAAACAGAGAGTGGGTGCGGCCACGCTGGCCCAATGCCCACATATTCCACATTTATATGGTGAACGATTCCATAGGGAGTGGAATTCCCTGCCTGCAGACTTGTTCCCTGAACGTTATAACTTGGACCTTTTCAAGGCGAAAGTGAATAGGCATTATTTAGGTGTGTATGCACCATCGTCGACCTTATCGTCACTTTCCATCAGGTGAGGTGGAGGTCAAATGCGCATTTACATTGGAATAAAAAAAATGCGGCTTGGAGACTTCACGCGTTTTACGAGGGTTGTGAATCTTCTTCGACGTGCAGGTTTCTTTACGATATTTTCCTTCACCGAAAAGAACGCACATAATTTTCGAAAAAATGAGGTTTTAGTCCGGGTTTGAATCCAAGGCCTCTGCTTGAAAGGCAGTTGGTTAAGGCAATAGACTACAACAGCTTTTTACGCTAATTAATTTAACTCACCAATAATTCGTTAAACGGGTAATCGAACATCGCTAATTCCTGCGTGACGGGCATGAATCCGGTGATGAGAGAAAGACCTCCAGCGTTGTGACGTGTAAATGACGCGCTGTTGCGGTGTACGTTCACACTCTTGTTCATCACTTTCGCGTAAATCGGACGGAACTTGCGCCTAGTGTAGTAGCACCTTTGGGAAAACAGAAAACTTTAACTCGCAGGAATATACAACATCATTCACAATAACTTTGTTAAAATGCTTATTAAGGACACAACATACATTAGAAAAATAAACAAGAAAATATAAATAAGATATAATTCATTATCATTCATTTCTTTGCGTAACCCATATCGTATTGACATATACCTTCGTTTCTAACTCCTTATTAACTTATCTAATGAAATATAATGTCGTATAGAAATAAGATATAACAACCAATATATTATTTTTACATACAAAGATCGAACACTTAGGAAAAATTCCTTCGATCCGGACAGATTCGAATCGACGTCTTCTAGCAAACCGTGCCAGAACCAGCAGACCTCCCGAAATTTTCTATGTGCTTGTTTGTCGGATCTTTGTATCTGGCTTTTAACGACCTTTTAGCCGTAGCGCCGAAATCCATAGTATTTCGTAGTTTGTTGCTTGTATACAGTTTATGATTTCACAAATAAATGGATTATGAATTATAAAAAGTCAAATAAAAAAATTCTTACCTATAAGCACCCCCCATAAGTTTATTAATCACCAATCCGATGTCATGTAGAGTATGCATATAGCCTCTTGGCAAATGCGGTCTAACATCTCTCAAGATGTATCTCAAAGTATTACTAGGTCCACTCTTGGTGTTGTACAGTTCTTCTAGTCGGGGGATTGTGAGAAATTTTCGCATGGAGACACCATTCTCTAGGAGTAGTTTGACGAAGTCTATTCTGTCATGTTCTAAGGCTTGCATCATGGCTTCGTCGAGAGCTCCTGTGAACGAAATTGTATTACATTAGTATTTTTTGTTATTTATTTATAATTTAAAAGGTAATACAAGCACATTTGGTTAGTGTACACAACAATGTTTCTAGTCGTATTTTAACCCATTAAGGTTCGTAGTATTAGTTATAATTTAAGGTAAGGTTTTTATAGTGTAAGTTTTGTAATATGTATTATGATATTGCACTACTAATACAATAGTGTGTTAACTCAAAATGTGAATTTATTCAGTATATCTGAAAAACGAATTGCTCAGTTACCGTGAAAGATTATTATAATTTATGTTTAGGTTAAAATTTATTACACATCTGAACAATTTCCTACTTGCCAAGTTTATTTAAAAAAAGTGAAAAATAATTTCATATTTTTGAGTAAGGACTGTTTTGTCCTGAATTAGCTCACAAAACATTTGTCTCATTCTGGATTAAGTCGATATATTTTAATGGTTTCTTATAACAATATTCTACTGACAATTTTATTGGCACGTAGAGAAACAAATTTTTCGTTCAGAAAAGGTATATAATCTAGAATTTCATATTTTTTGAGTTACAACACTGTTGTATTAGTAGTACGATATTATGTTACATTCATAATATAAAAATAGAAACGAATAACACGAGTACAAAATAACATAATATTAGGTACACGAAGGTAGTAAAATATGTTTGAGAATTTTGTTTCAAAGTACTTATTAAATTGCTTTGTTTATAGAATGCCTGACTGAAATACCGCCTACTAAAAGACCCAAAACGTTCTTCGGTTCTTCGGTAAAAAGAAAAACGAAGTATAAGGAATTCCTTGTCCTTTGAATACCAGAGTAACGAAATTATACTGGGGTATTACGCCGAAAGCCCAGATCATGTTTTCTAAATTGGTCCTATCGTGAATCGAACCCAATTCAAAGGCAAAATAGTGTCTCACATCTGGGTGTTATTACTGCCACATCTGCTACGACTGCCTTTAACCATTCACGGATCCACACCCTTTTAGGGTGAATAAGTTACCCTCGTTAGCATGTGATACACCCTTTATTAAAAAAAACTTTAACAAATGCAATAAATTGACAGTGTAAGAAAGTAACAAAAATAACATCTTTTTTAGTTGAAAACTAAGCAATAACCTATATCGTTCAAGGCATTTCAGTGATATATTAAAAAAATACAGGTTGAAAATAGAGTTTTTTTACGAGGCTAAAAATATTACGCATAACTGTTTGATGATTAAAGGCGCCTTTAAATTGGACACTTATAGAAACACTGCAATAGCGCCACAGTGGTGTTGTATGCGGTGCCACTGTTAATTATTACTACACCACTATTAATCGCACCGGTGAAATTACAGACACATGGGAATTGTCAATTTATGTCTCAGGGTGACAGACGCAGTGGCAATCCTCCTCACATCTTTGCGATTAAAGACTATGAGTGGCACTGCAACGGTTATTGACAGGCGTGTAGCTTATACCTTCTGGCGCATGACTTTTTCGTCCCGTCTTTTGATATTATAAAAAGAACTTATAGAAACGCTGCAGTAGCACCACTATGACGCTGCAGCGGTGTCATTACTATTTTTTTATACAATATTTAAAGCGCAGATGCAGCGCCACAATCCCGTTACGTGCGTGCAGCGTTTGCAGATTACATATTGTATGAAAATTAGTAAAAACAGCTGTTCACAAGCTTCTATTTTAAAGGCGCTTTTAAATAACGTAGGTGGCTCTGACAGCTGTGACCATGGAACCTGTAAAGGGCTTTGTTTATTTGAGCGAATTTATAAAGATCAATAATTTTTAATTCATCACCAAATTCAACAAAGTTCAATAAAAGAACCAGACAAATAGCATCCTTCAGAATGAAAATAAAAGAAATGAATTACATTATTTTTAATTTAAAATTTCTTAGAAAGAAAAGTTTGGTGTTGTATTATCTTTACTCTACATGCATAGAAATTTCGTATTTCATACAGAAAATCTTAAGTATTCGTGTGGCCATTAAAATGGAGGAAACAAATACAAAATTTTGACAAAAAAAATCACCAAAAAAAATGTTCTTGGACCAATGAGGTAACTGTAATCTAATTGGTTATAAGTGATGATAGCCCAGTGAAGCCTGACGATAGCTACTCAATTTGAGAGAACGACTAACTGGGTATTGGCTAACCCGTTCTTAGTAGCAGTAGAAAGTTGTGAAAGAGTTCGTTCAGGGAATTACTGCCACCTTACCTACCTATTTCTGCCGCCAAGCAGTAATGTCAGCATTGTTGTGCTCAGGCTTTGAAGGGTAATGGTGCTGGTGAAATTACTGGCACATGGGACTTGTCATCTTATGTTTCAGGGTGACGGACGCAATGGCAGTACCCCTCAGATCTTTGCGATTTAAAGCTCTGAGTGGCACTGCAACTGGCGTGTACCTCACCATCAGGCATACGAATTGTTCGTTCCGTCACTTGATATTGTAAAAAAACGGTTTGCACGGCAAACAATAGACAAAATTCTCGTGAGGAAAGCCATGCCCAGTTTAAAACACCCTATGTTATGTAATAATGTGTACAATATCATCATATACATATATAGTCACCATTTTAGAAATAAATAAACTATCATTGTAACAATAAAAGGTTAAAAGTCGGGGTGAAACATTATACGTATGGTTTGAGGGTGAACTAATAGAACCTTTTGAAAATATTTAGTATAAAGTGAGACGTACGAACGAATTAATTTTGTTAGACCGGATAACCGGTAAGCAGCAATCCACCAGTTTAGATATTGGATGCAGCGTTTTTATTGTGCCTATGTGTTAACCCATTTGCCAAAAGCTTGTACAGTAACCGTATATAGATAATCCGAATTTCTTGTGATATTTCAGTCAGCTTTCAGATATTCGGCACTGGGACTTTTTACCGAACAGTCGAATATTGGGGTGCACGAAAGGAGCCTGCCTGGATGACGTAACATTCCGTTTCTGTACGCTTCTGGGCAACCGGTCAGTACCTTACATCATCAGCCTATTGCAGTCCACTGCTGGACATAGGCCTCCCCTAATGCACGCCATTTCGCCCTGTTCTCGGCTTGACGCATCCATTTCCTGCCAGCAATCTTCCGCAGATCGTCACTCCATCTGGCTGGAGGGCGTCCCACACTACGTTTGCCAAGTCGTGGTCTCCACTCAAGAACTCGTTTACCCCAGCGGTTGTTCAGTACCTTACGCTGCTTGGCAAATCCTGTCACCATGATGGAAAATATTATAGTGTATGTCATCGATACGAGGAGAAGAAGATTTGCTTTGAATAGTATGTTGCCACGTTGATTGCGCTATCCAAGGCCGCGTAGAGATCTTCCTTTTCTTTTTTAATTTTTTATAAATAAATAATTGCGCATTTGTTCTCCATCTCACCTGATGGAAAGTGACGATGAGGTCGAGGATGTAGCATGCACACCTACATAATGCCTATTCACTATGGCCTTGAAAAGGTCCAAGTTATAGCGTTCGGGGAACAAGTCGGCAGGCAGGGAATTCCACTCCCTAGCCACTCGCTAGGACATCGGAGTCGGGTGAAAGGGACTCTGTTTAGTGGAGAAAAGACACGCCTGCGTTTTGGTAGCATTAAATTTGACAAGATTGACGTCGCCGTAATCGGAGACTGCCTTAAGTGTCACATTCAAACGACTAACCATGAACTCTCGACACCACGATGGCAAGCATTACAGGGTATGCCATCGGTACGATAAAAAGATAAAACTACTGGACAATAATTTTAAATTTGTTTTTAAGATCAATTTTTAATGGCCCAACTTTGATTAATAGCAAATAAAGTCCACGTGACTAGAAGCGAGACGTAGGGCGCTCTGTTTGCACACGCGTCATTTACAGGTCGGTTAAACAATCAAGATTATATGAAAACGGACCCAAATGACGGTCGTTGGTGAGTTGGAAAGCCTTTGTTTTTTTGATGATACTTTTTTAATAACGATTCGATGAGATTAAGTGAAATGAATGAGATTTCATCGAACCTTAGGCAGTTTGAGCACAGCTGTTGAATATGGCAATGGATTGAATTTGGTCGATTACGATGAATCTAATCGGTCGAATCTAAGAGGTGATTCTCAAAGTATTCTATATCGACACCCAGTGGTCTATTCCAACCAAGAGGGGATCCATTTAATTGCCTCCGCTGCCGAACAGTTACCATACCGGACTGCCACGCAGAGGTCCCCGGGTTCGGTTCCCGGGCCGGGAGAAATATTTGTATGGCCTACATTTATTTCTCTCGTGAGTTTGGGTGTAATTTGTGGTTGTCTATGTGTGTGTCCATGGCACCCGCGACTCAGGGTTTCCCCAGTGCGGGGCTATGTTGAGTGTGTGCGGTATTTATTTATTATTTATAACAAAAGTGTGTGTATTATTATTATTGCAGCAAAATAAAAATACGGGGTGAATGAGACGTTAATGGGGCGTCTATCAAAAGCGCAAGTCTCTCGTAAGAGAAAGATGCTTTTTTCGTTCCATCATAAGGTGGGTAATGGTATATGTGGATTCCCTGTCCGCGCGTATAGCTTAGGTAATGAGAGTGCGGTGGCCCTGCGCCGCGCCGACCGCGGCAAATCATATTGACATATTCGCTTATAACGTTGAATAGTACGAAATGTTATTAAAAACATTTATAATTATCTGTTTGTAACATGAAAGCGTGTTGGCTATTCAGCTGTAAATTTTCAATGTAAATAAATAAACGAGTGTGGAACCTATTTCGTCAAGTAAAATTTTGAATTTTCAACAATGGGAATAATCTATATTACACAGACAGTACTTACATAATACTTTCTTATTATAGACGTATAAATGATTTAAGTAAACATTTAACGGCGAACAAGATACTCGGTTAACACTTTAACAAAGTTTCTCGTAATACAGTTAAAGTCATTGAAGTGAGCACCCGTTGTGTCACCTATTAAAAATACATTTGAAGTTGATGAATTTGTAAAGAAATTCACATTAGGCAAAATTGAAAAATTGGTACGTAGTCTACGAGACAAAAAAGTTTGGGAACCGCTGAGCCTAGAGTATGTTAAGGCAATTATGATACTAAAGTAACATCGCAGTGCTCTGTAAGTATTTCTGTATTAACACGGCTTTATACCAAAATTTTAATAAGAACCACTGTCGCAAAAGCCGAGGCAACTTCATCGAGCGGTTTGAAAAATTCGCGCAAATTGAGCGCGTGGTTTTCTGTAGGAATTGTTTTTTTATACGGAAGAAAAGCAATGGAAGGGCCTGAGGCCTCGGTTACTACCAGGCCCGCTGTCGCCATAAAACACACACTAACATAATGTTAGACATTGTGAAATCTTGATATAGATTGGTCGTAGATTCTAATTTAAAAAGATGTAACGAGTTCTGGATTATTAAATATAATTTAAACTTTAGGCTCTTGGTACATCATTGAAAGTTCAATATTTATTACTGCAAGTTACAGTGTTTTGATTTTATATTGAAATATCATTGAATGTGGTGTGTGTGCATCTAGCGGTCATTAGCTGACAACAGACGACGAAGGATTAACGCCTACGAGTAGGGTGGAAAATTCGAGATGTACAGGTTACTTTCGTTTCTTACTACGCATTACGAATTACGAAAATGAATTAACATTAAATAAAATAACACTTAACAATGATACGACACACCACCATGGATAATATTTACAGGTGCGACTTTAATTTTTACATTTCAAAGTAGCAAAATTACATTTACCACAAGTTTACAGGCTTTGCGCAAGATGAGGTTTGACACGACCATAAAGTACAAGCGAAAATGGCTGGTTGAGATCAAGTTTGCGGAACTCCGCGTTGTGTTGGCACACGGCACAGTGGCTGTTCCCCTAAGATCATTGTGATTTAAAGCTCTGACTGGCACTGCACCGGTTTTGATGGTGGTGACATACTACAGGCACGTGGTACTTGTCAACTTTATTTCTCATGGTAACGGGCGCAGTGACAAGGTCCTTTAAGTTTTTGCAACTAAAGCTCTGATTGGTACTGCAACGACTATGGGTAGACATGCCACTTACCACCAGCCGCACCACTTGTTCGTCCCGTCAATGCATGTTATAAAAAAGTCACAGGTGACGAAGCCAATTTCCCATGTTGTCAGTTCAGCGTTTGTTGTTGTTTATGAACGTAAAGATAATAATAATAATTTATTGTTTCCATAAGTAGGCATACATGTTATACAATAGCTTAGTTATATATTCCCAGTAAAGCATGGTAATAGTTGAAAAGTACTTAATACAAAAATTCAAATTAATTTTCTACGTGCTTTATAACAGTAAATAATTACGAAAAATTTTACTTTGAGCAACATTTACACAAATTATAAACTTAGTATTACTTTTAACTAATAACATTATATATTACATATATTCTAAAATTAACACTTTTATTTCTTTCCGATGATAGATGTGTATAAACAGTAATTAAAATGTCGTTTACATTTGAGAATAATCAAATTCAAAATTATTCCGGTACGTTTTACATAGGCTCCTACACTAGACATAGCCTGTCCCGTAAGTAACCAACTCAAAGGTGAGATTACCAATATAGAAAGCGTAGATACTAAATTTAAAAAAGACTCCTGCGATGAAAGTTCTTCAGCCTCTCTAGCTCTTAATAAGTTGACTTTATTGTTGAAAAATAAACTTGACATCGTTTTGTGTTCTACTAGGACCATTTAACGAGTAACACACTTCCATAAGTTCTTTTATCTTTTGTTATGGCTTAAATCTCATTACGGTCTTATGAATTATTATGAATACAAAAACCTTTCTGTTATTAAATTTTCTAATATAAATATACTCATCAAATTACAAATAGCGGATTCAAAAGACTTCTTTCTCGTTAACATTTCTATTCATGTCTTGGTAAGAATCGTTTTGTTTCCGGATTTTAATTTTTAACGCCGGATAAAGTTTAGGGACCAATCAGAGCGTTCCGTCAATTGAAAACGAATGGTCATTCAGAAATTTTAGGACCTTCTTGTTTAAATAGACTTTCCAAAAGTTTAGTTCATTACTCCCGTTTTGGAGATTTCACTTCGTCGAATTGTGCAGTAAAAGAAAACGATACTGTCATACTTCATCACACAGATTTCCTTTCATTTTTCAGCCATTACTGTCCCACTGCAGAGCTAAGGTCTCCCTTCTCATTTTCCACTCTTCGCGATTTATCGCTGCCACAGGCCAAGACCTCGTATACGCGTTCAATTCGTCACGCCATCTCGTTCTGGGTCTTCCACGGCTTCGTCTTGCGTTTGGTGGTATCCACTTTGTGGTAGTTTTTGTTCACAGCTCGTTTGACATGGGGCCGGCGTGTCCGGCCCGGTTCCAATTTAAGATCGCGGTTTTATGACCAGCACAGATTTGCAAATAAAAAAGCTAATCGACATGTAATCTAGCTTTTAATTGACCGTTAGAGCTTTGGCAAACGTTTGACACTTTTGGCAACGTCGGTACAGTTGGCATAATCACTGGCGTAACAGCTCTATTGCGAGGTCTCCGGCATTAAAAGTAGATTGAAACCTTCATGTTTTTTTTTTCACAATATTAAGTGAAGGGACGAACAAGTCATGCGCCTGATGGTAAGCTACACGTCTATCCATTACAGTTGCAGTTTCTCTCAGGGCTTTAAATTTTATTTTTTTCCATCCTCTAAGTTTAAATCGCAAAGATCTGACGTGGGATGCCGCTGCATCCGTCAACCTGAGACATCAGTTGACAAGTCCCAAGTGCCTGTGATTTCACGAAATTCTGCCTTCTTCTGTATGTACTTATTACAAATAAAAAACATTATTATAAAATCGCGTCCGCACATTCTGCTGATAATTTATTTTCAATTGAATCGAACAGTTTCATGTTCCCCTGTCCAATCGAGACAAGTTGTGTAAATCCATACAATTGTAAGCAGCGCGACTAGTAAGCGTACGGACGCACACATTTGGATAATCTCACGGTGCACTCACATTGCATAACGAAGGTCATCACAAGCGCAATTCATTAAAGAACTGAAACGTTCGCTCGGTGTTTAAAAAGTTACATCAAGTAGTAGACGTGTTTATGGTTATCATAACAACAGTGCTGTAAATTCAAAATTGTTCAGCATTTCATTTCTATTTCGTAATCATGCTCTCATAATCGAGATGCCAATCTGCGATCAAATCGCGAAAAAATATCAATACGTGAGTACTGCATATAGGAATGGTTATTTAAATATCGCTCGACGTTACTATAATATATTATGTACAATATAATATAACTTACAACGCACACACTCATAGGGCAACCCTGTGTCGCGGGTGTCTTAGGCATCATATATACACAAACACAAATTACACCCAAACTCAATCGAACCCGGGATTTCTGCGCGTCACGCTGGATTGCCAGCGTGGTAACCGTTCGGCCACAGAGGCAGTTAATATTGAGATGAACATCTTAATTTTTTTCAAGTTCTGATTACATTTTGTAGGTAACAACTAAAATAGTAATGTGGCAACCCTATGCACCGAACAGGCGGGAGTTGCATTTCGTCTTCATCTTATTATGTCGATGACATACGCTTTAATGCTTCCTATCGTGGTGAAAAGATGATTGGTGATTATGTTACTTGATGACAATGCTGGCCTAACAAAGAAAGCTTCAACGTGAAATGTTACTTATTCTTTTGAACGTTCATATCCAAACTTTAACCCAAATAAAGTTTTGTGAAACAGACATACCTGGGGGCCATTCCTGTCCATAGACGAAAATTTCAGATTGTGCAATGTCGACTCGGTTCCACGTGAGTGCCAAAGACAGCTGTTCACTCGGCGACAGATGCTGAGCTCTGAACAGGGCCGTGAGAATCACCTGGTCCAACTCTTGGACTTCGCCGCCTTCCGCTCGCTCTTGTATTCTGAAGACTGTTATCTGGTGAAAAATAAATTAATCGATAATCAGTTTGTTTATCATCATCAATTAATAAAGAGAATATTTATTTATAACACTTAGTAGCAGTAGAGCAGAGTAGAGCAGTAGCAGTAGAGCTCCTTGTGAAAGAGTTCGTCTAGGGACGTACTTGCCACCTTCGTCCAGGGAAGTATAGACACCGTACCTATTTCTGCCGCCAAGCAGTAACGTGAGCATTACTGCATTTCGGTTTGGAAGGGTAAGGTGCTGACGAAATTACAGACACATGGTACTTGTCAACTTATGTCTCAGTGTGACAGACGCAGTGGCAGTACCCCTAACATCTCTGCGATTTAAAGCTCTGAGTGGCACTGCAACAGTTATGGAAAGGCGTGTCGCTTGCCACCAGGTGCATGACTAGTTCGTCCCGTAACTTAGTATTATATAAAAAAAACAAATCACAACATTGGCATATCATGCACATAGTAATTTCAATAAAGGGAGTCACACATTTATTGACTCGAAATCGACTTGAGCTCTTAAGGTCGAAGCCAAACTGGCACATCATCTTATTCGCTCTTATTGCATGGACATAAAACTTTTCTGACTGGCTTAAGTTGATCTCGCTGCAATAACTGTGATGACTCCGAAAAAGGTTACAAGAACTGCAACCTAAATGCAAGTTTTTCGTGAAGACAAACGCATCGAACGCGTTAGCGTTAAAATCGTAATTACTATGTGAACATTAGCAGTGCCTCTAGCGACAGAATCCGCGAGTGTCATTTTCCATTCTAAACGCAGAAAGACCTTTTAAACGCCATGACAGCGTTTAACGTTTCCAAGCGCGTTACAGGGGCTTTTGCCAGTGTAAGTTAGAAATTTTACTTTCGAAAGAGTTAACTAACGAAAACGCTGTTGTTATCACTTGACGTTTGACTAGTGCGATCGTGCGTTTACGCATAAATTTTGTATTTTCATATAAAATTTGATGTGAAATTACTTTAAATTTTAAACCACTCCACATTTTAAATACTACAAAAATCTTGAAATAATTTTGAACCTACTTGACCTTTGAAAAAAATAAATATTTAAGGTTTCATTCTTTACAATACAATATTATAGAAATGCAAGCAACCAATACCAATACGAATAGGTCAAGTTAGATATGACTTAAAACTAAGCAAATATGTACCTCATGCATTGCATACTTTTTGCACCTTTCAGTTGTTTAATTATCCCCTGCTCATGGATCAGCATTGACAGAATCTTACAGTGACAGTTTTTGTGGATTTTAGTCTATCAAATTGCCATTACATATTCATAAATACAAACAGAAAAATATTTATATACGTACACGCAAGTCTTTAATTACCAAGGTCACTGCAAGCTTTTTATTTGTAGCCCAAGCGACAATACTGACTGTTCATGGAATTAGCCAGCATTCGAACTGTGTTCCACTTGTTTTCATTTTAATTATTAATCACAAATTTCTAGGCAATTCTTCTTAAATTAAATACGCGCGCATAATGACATACACACGGACTAAAAGAATGTCAAGTGTTTCGGGATCTTATGTCTCTTTTATAACTGTAAGTAAAAATTAAACGAATTTTGCCCCTACACTACATTGCTGATTTTCAGTTTTCATTTGAAGCTATTCGCTTACTGCACTAGGCTAATGAGTGGAGTTCATGCCAACCTCACTTAAATTAGGTCAAGGGTTTCGGTCCTTATGAAATTCTAAATTTAATGCTGTTACGGGTTTTCATCAACGACCATTTATAACTCAATTTCTGTGCAGACGGGAGCCAACACTCGTATAAGGTTTTAAAAGCAAATAGTTTTTAATAGAGTTGAAAGTTGCCCCTGAATAGAGTCAAACGAGGACAAATTTGTAGCTGGAAACACGTGTACTGAATAAAATTGCCATCATGACTGATCAAAATGATTTTTAGTGACGAACCTCTCGAATATGTCACCAGAATGTTCGTTTTGTTTATATGATTTCAGGTTGATGTACCTCGAAACAATATCTAATGCTGGAGTTTGTACCTTATGAATTTTATCGAAAGTTTTCGTTTTAAGAACAGCACTATATTAACGAATTTCAGCATTACACTAACTTACCTTAGTTAATTTGTAAAGTTATTTTAACGATGCATAACATTTCCGTATTTTGTAGAGTCGAGAGATATTTCTCGGAACATTCATTGAACAATAGACCCAGGCTCCTAACTTTAGGGGCTTCATTAGGTGCTGTCCATCCTCTATGACCACTGCGGAAGTACTCCTAATTACTTTATTTGTTTACTCAATATCATGTGGAAATATTTTAGAGCTTTTAGAAGACAATCGTCCTCCCGCGATCATTGTGTTCCCGCCTTAAGGCGCGTCACCGAAAGGGAAGCGGGAAAAAATATTATAAAATCCTGTGAACAGGCTAAAATAACAGTCTAAAGCGAAGTATTAAGAATAAAATATTTAACTTTGCACATAATTTTTATGTGGAGATACTTCTCTTTAAGTACTACAGAGAACCTGCTAAATTTTGGTTTTCGTCTGAAGTATTAAATTCACATTTAACCCAAATTTTGAAAATTAACCAACAGTTTAACGACATGCCGCGCCGTCTGCTGCCCTGGCACTCGTCATTGGGCGCTTGTCACCATTGGATCTGTATTAAAATTTCTCCACCTATTCTTAATTTATTCATATTAATTTGCAGTACCCGGGGTACGAGGCGTGAGGCATAGGCGTTGAAATATCTCTCCAAAAGCTCTTAATTAAGAAAAATGAATGTAGAAAAAAATTAAAAAAGAATCTGTAGACTCTGTTACTGGAGCATGATTATTTAATTGGTTCAAAAAAGCCGTTTGTCCGTGCGAAAAGAGCGAAGACGACGTTGTGTGCTTCGTTGGAACGACGCGACCAGTAACGTTCTGAGCAGAGGTTCGTGTCCATCTGGGCGCCCTCAGGCCAACTTAATTTTTTATAAAGGTTAAGAGCCTTCAACTGGTATTTATGCCCGGTGACGCAGATAAAAATAAAAAGACCCGCCACCGCGTGGCGACCAAACATTTTTCCTATATATATGGTGCCGACAACTATTGGCAGGAAGACAACAACATAGATAATTACTAATACAAAGATCGAACAGTGAAACAAATTTCTTCGATTCGGTTGGATTCGAACTTACTGTGGCCAGCCACAGAAGTAGCTCTCCCAACTGAGCTACATAATGAACCAGCAGATCTAACGAATTTTTCTATATGCTTGTTGCAGATCTTTGTTTCTGGTTTTTAACGACTTTTTATATCGTTGCGCCATCTGCGAGTAATCTATTAAAGTACTTTTTCACTCAGCTAGGTACCTTCACAACTACCAGCGGCTGACTAGAGATCGCCTTAAATTATCAAAGCGACAAGCCGCTGCAATTACAATTATGTAATATTAAGTTTATTGAATATCACCATGTTTTACTATCATGATATTAAATTTTTTATTGTGAAATTACTTCGTTTCTTATAATTTTATTAATACAAAGATTCTGAAGGTTGGATTCGAACGAGCGCCTTCAGTATTAATAATTATATCAAAGAGTTTAAACTATTTCACAAAAAATAAATATTAACGTAGTAAAACATCGTGATAAAGAAACTTTAGTGAGTGTTAGATACAAAGATTTTAATTTAATTCATTATACTTATTGTTAACGAGATCAAAGAGCTTTTACGAAGATCACTTAGAAAATAATTAAATGGAAGATTAAAGTTTTATACGAAAGGGGAAATTTCCGAACATCTACTTATTAACAATTTACTGGAAGCGATTAAGTAATTGAAACAAATGAACGACGAAAATGAATTTGGAACAGCCTTTTTAATTTTGAATGTGAGGCAGAAAAGAGAATTTGCTTGTTTTAGTAGAAGAGTTGCTTTGCGGAAGTACTGCCATTTTACCTATTTCTGCTGCCAAGTAGTAATGAGAGCATTACTACGTTCCGGTTTTGAAGGATAAAGGTGCTGATGAAATTACTGGCATATGGCACTTGTCAACTTATGTCTCAGGGTGACGGGTGGCAGTGCCCATGAAATCCTTTGCGATTTAAAGCTCTGAGTGGTACAGCATCTGGTATGGGCAGGCGTGTCGCTTACCACCAGGCGTACTATTTGTTCGTCCCGTCATTTGATATCATAAAAAAAAGTTTTGACAGACAGTATTATTAAATATTATAACGGGTACGGTTTTATTAACGGTATTGTTTTTTGGGTCACGCAAATATTTTTAATGCGCATTTTAACGACTATATGGAGGTAGGAGCGGGGATTAATGCGAGTTGTATGTTACAAGAAGGCGAAGGGGGATAGGGTGGTGAGCACATCACAATTACATATAAAGTTAAAAATATTGGATTTTCAAAGGAATTATTATTGTTCAATGCTCCAATGGAATAACGGCGTATACTGTGACTTTGCTATGAAATGCAATTCAGTGAATTGTTAAAAGATTTTTGATCATATTGCCATGGAAACTAGTGTATTTTCAAATTATGTGTGTAATCTTTTCGGGCAGTGCGTGTTAAGTATTTGATATTATTGTTGCTGATTCTACTGGCTGTGCCTCGACACATATTTTAAAAAACATTTCACATTTTTATGTATTGTGGTTCGATTGTTCATTCAAAGAATATGGCACATAGTTCATAAAACATCTAATACAATGAGCTCATTATTTTTCGGAGGATCGATTCAATTTAATTTTTCTTTTATGTTATTAAGTGACAGGACGAAGAAGTTGTGTGCCTGGTGGTAAGCAACACGCCTGTCCATAACAGTTGCAGTGCCACTCAGAGTTTGAAATCACAAAGATCTGAGGGTCATTGCCACTGCGCCCGTCACCCTGAGACGTAAGTTGACAAGTGCCATGTGCCCGTAATTTCATCAGCCCCCGTATCCACGAGAAAATATTCCACTTCCAACGGTGGCAAACTAGGGGATGAATGACTTTTGAGTTCGGTTTTT